AGTGCAGATGTTAGCCAGGCCTGGGGTCTCTGCCTCTGTGCTCACTGCTGTAGCCGGTAGGAAGGGCCTCCATGGCCTGCCTCAGTTTCCCAGCACAAGGCAGATCACAACATGTCAGCAACTGAGAGATGGAGAAAGCACCCACACTGCAGAAAGCCATCTCTGTACAACCTAGTCGCAAAGGCCTCAGGCCTTGCGTCTCCCAGTCTGAGTCAGTGAGACCAGAGCAAACTCAAGGGCACAAGATGCCTGAGGGCTTGCATAGCAGGAGACAGCAACCAGAAGGAATCACTTTAGGGGCTGTCGACCACCCTGCCTTTAACTGAAGGGTAGAAAACAGAAATTTGCATGTAAAGCATTCTGCATATAGCAGGGGCTTAATATATAGCAAACCTTAGTAAGCTACAAGTTCTGGAAAAGAATCCTTATTTAAAAGCCATAGATGTGTACCTCCCAAAAAAGGCTTGATATGCCGTAAGGTGGTGTCTATGGTTATCTAAAAGCATTGCTCTCTGGTCACTAGGGTAGCTGCAGGTGGATCCATGGATGGATGAAGAACGGATGGAGATGGATGCTTCAGCAAAAATGTTTATTTAACCTTACAAGAATATCATAGGATGAGGGCAGATGTTCCTAGTCACTAGGAAACCAAAATCCCTATAGAGATTAGTCATTTTGAAGGTGACACTTCAACAGCAGCTATTTTTAACTGGTATCAATGAAAACAATAAAGTAGATACAGGGCTGAGTCCAGCCCTGCAGCACTTGTAGTTTTCAGAAATAACATTAAGAAGACTGAGTTTGTGGTGCAGAGAGTTCCTGAATTACTCTCTGATGACGTCGGGGCTCCTGCTAAGAGGCTGTTTACCTTCTGTGATTCTGTACATGGTCTACTGCATCTTCCCATGGCATCCTTTATTATGACCCCACTTGTCGTGTGTTGGGATTATTTGTCCACATGTCTGTTTCCTGGACCAGGATACTCGCTTTTTGAGAGCAGATCTTCGCCTTAGTTTTATTAGCCCCAAATCCTAGCATAGAGCCTGCACATAGGAGACACTCAAGAACATTTATTTGAGAAAGATGGAGAGAGACTCCCATGCACTGGTTCACACCCCCAAATACGTGCAATGGCCAGGGCTGGACCAGGCTGAAGTCAGGAGCCACGAATTCAATCTGGATCTCCTAGGTGGATGGCAGGGACCCAGTTACTTGCACCATTACTTGCTGCTTCTGCATTTGCAGGAACCTGGAATCCAACCAATGTGGATGTGGGACTTGAACCCAGGCACGCTGATATGGGGCACAACTTTTTTTTTTTTTTTTTTTTTTACAGGCAGAGTGGACAGTGAGAGAGAGAGAGAGACAGAGAGAAAGGTCTTCCTTTGCCGTTGGTTCATCCTCCAATGGCCGCCACGGCCGGCGCGCTGCATTCGGCACACTGCGCTGATCTGAAGCCAGGAGCCAGGTGCTTCTCCTGGTCTCCCATGTGGATGCAGGGCTCAAGCACTTGGGCCATCCTCCACTGTACTCCCGGGCCACAGCAGAGAGCTGGCCTGGAAGAGGGGCAACCGGGACAGAATCCGGCGCCCCGACCGGGACTAGAACCTGGTGTGCCCGCGCCGCAGGTGGAGGATTAGCCTAGCGAGCCACAGCGCCGGCCACAACTGGTCTTTTAACTACTGGGCCAAATGTCTGCTCCTGCCTTTTAAAAATAATCCTGATTAGGATGCTTTGCACCCATGGTCTAATAGGACAATGTTTTTTTAGTGTATTAGCTGAGATTCAGTAATTTCAGAAAATACAAATTCAAAAATCTCAAAATGGATGTCATAAAAACCCAATTCTTTAGAACCTACTAGAAATAGTCTTATAATAAGTTTCTACAGGAAACCAGTAAGTATATCAAGTTTATTGGGTCATTTACATGTTTTCCTCTGTCTCTTGCTTTTCCTTAAAAGAATGAACTGGTGATTATGGCTATATAAAAATAGATATAAAATGCATAATTGGATACAGATGAAGTATGCTGACTGGGGATGAGAAACACTGCAATGAACATGATTTTTCCAAAATGAAAAAAAGAACCATTCATCAGAGTTCAAGAATCTGCTGTAATGAATCAAGGGAGAGTTTTATATTTCTGGAAGTTAGTTTATTCCTTCAGTTCCTGCTTTGCCCTGTCAGTGAGTTCAGACTTCGGGATTTCACTCCCCGTTTGCCGACAGATGCTGCATTCCAAGCTGAAACAAAGCTTTCTTTTCAGCACAGGGGCACTGAATGGTGAGTGGTAAAGTAGCCAGTCCTTCTCCGGGCAGATGTTTCTCCTTTGTCCCGCCTCTTTTGCTGTCCTGTAACCCATATGGTCCCTCCACTTTGCTCTGTCTCCTCCTCTCTCCATCTTCTATCTGATCTCACTTTCTCTTCCAACACTGTATTCGCCCCAATGTCTGTCCTTTTCTTTCTCTCTTGACTTCCCATCTGTATTCACCACCTGCTCTACTTTATAACGTAATCTTCTGTTTACACATTCATTATTAGATCCTTTCTTTTTGTGAGCCCTGCTTCTATCCTTAGCTGGCATTGGTCACTTTTCAAAGTCTGCTCTTAAATAAGCGTTTCGGCATGTGTGAGTGCTGGAGGGGCAGGCAGGAGAGAAGAGAAACTACTCAGTGTTTATTCCAACTTTGTAATAATCCTGCCTCGCTGTTGAGAAGAAAGTTTGCTGACTGTGCCCCACATCAGGTACCACCCAGGCTTTACTCCACCTGTGTGAAAAGTGGCAGTACTTAATTCAGTAACAGGAGCCCGACACTGGACATAGAGGGCATCAGAGCACTTAGTAAAATAAACCGGACTGAGAGAAAAGAATATGCCAAGGATGGCCTTGGAAATAAATCACCAGATTATAGTAGAAAAAGTCACGCAGTTAAGAACACGAGAGCACTTGGTGCAATTCAGAAGAGGCAAATTATCGGTCTAGTTACCTTAGAATAAACGTACACAAACTGCCCTGAGAAATATCCCAAGTGTCAGAGGCCATGACTGAATACATTGATGAGTGGAGGTTTACATTATAAACCAAAAGTCATTTTCCATCTCATAACTTTAATAATCTTGTCAAATAACCTGAACATGTGTACATGAACACTTGATTCGTTAAAAGAATGTGTAGCATAAAAGTCCATGAGACACATACAAGAATGACTTGAGATGTACTCAATGCAGTTATTCACCAAACTAATTCATGGCCTCGGCTCCTTTCCCTGATATCTGTATATGTGATGCTTTAAACATCTGTGTTTAAAGTTAAATCAGACCCTCCACCCCCATGCCTGGTTTTCTGCCAGTTTACTGCTCCTATATACTAAGTTACTTCCAGGCTGTAAAAAAAAAAGGCACACTGGGAGGTGAATTAGCTCTTAAGCCCCAGGAGACCAATTAGTAGCATGCTAGCAAGTGGAACTTGAAGAACCCAAGAGATTTTGTCCAGCCCCCTCATTTCGCAGCTGAAGTGGCAGAGGCTCAAAGGGGTTGCATCTTGCAAGGGCAAGGTTGGTTCCACTGCTACTACTGTAACCTTAGGCAAGTCCTTCAATAGCTCTGGAACTTGGCTACTTCCTCTATAAAATGGACAGGTAATCCCAGGTAATGTTGTTGAGGTGATTCCTATGGTCCAGGCACTAGACTGAGTACTGTAAGCATCTTTTCTAATCTTAACACCACCACAAACTATATGATTACCTTCAAATAGAGATTGGGAGTATCACAAGACAGAAAGCCTAAATAATTCACCCCAAATCACACAACTGTGAAATGTTGCAAAGCTAGTGGAGGAGCCCAAGAATAGCTGCTTCCAGAATTCTAAAACTCCAGTTCTTAAATCCCTTCTAAGAACTCCCATCAGGTTACATTAAGTAGACATGCTTAGCTTCACAAATTCCTTCCATCTCTGAAAATCTAGAGCAGAGCTGCAAGCTATGGCGCCTTGGCCAAGGCTAGCCACCCCATTCGCTTAGGGATTGGCTTTTTTTTTTTGCACTCCAATGGTAAAGTTGGAAGTGGTAATAGACTGCGTGGCCTGCAAAGCTGGAACTTTTTAAACTCTGGTGCTTTGCACAAGTTTACTGACCCCTGATATAGAGCCTGGAAACTTCAGAGTACTCTGTAATTATGTAGCACTTTACAGCCTACTAAGCACTTCGGCATACATCAGCACACTTAATCCTTATTTTGTAGAGGCATTCATGCATTATAAAGGAGGAAGCTAAAACTCAGTTAAATAGCTTTCCTAATCAAGGCCATAAGAACACAAAGTGGCAGAATCACAAACCCAGGTTCTGACTTCATACTTCAGACTCTTTGCATGAAACTCCTTTGCTCCCCTAACTTACTGCCAAGCAGTGGCTCGGAATCTGAAAAAAAACTTGTGAATATCGAAAGCAAGTCAGACTGTCTTCTGATGCAACTATCATTACAGGTGCACTTTCAGGGTCATCAACTGCTGAAAACATTAAATTTGTAATAAATTTGAAAGAAAAAACTATGTCTTAAAGGAGGGCATGGCAACCATAGAAAATACATTTTGATATATATATGTATATATATATGATGCATTCATATGCATTTTTGTACTAAGGTTTGCTAAATTTGAATCTATTCAGTTTAGAATGAGAAGTAACATAAAATGAGCAATTGCCACATCTCTTGCTCTGTGATGAAATTAGCCTAAAAGAAAATTCATTCCAGGCTGAAAACTTGCATGTAAATGCTCATGATGGATATTCACTACATGGTTAATTTCAAATGGACTTAATACTAAAAGAACACTGGTAAATTAATAGTTTAACTGTATAGCTTTGCCAAAACAAAAAAAATTAAGAAAGTTTAGGTGTACACTTCATTCTCTTCTACAAATTTAAGCTTAATCTAAATGACAATGTTGGTTCCTGAAATAAGGCTTAGCTTTAGATTCACTTGAAATATACAATATGAGACACTTTCCTTTTTACTTCAGATTTATTCTGTAACATCTTTGAGATTTAATTTTAGACATATGTATAAATGGTTACAAGAGCATCCTGAAATCATTGCAAGGAAAGAAAGAAAAAATATAAAATCAACTAGTGCCCACTGTGTGTTAGGCACCTGTCGTTTATTTCCTGAAACGCTCACAATGAGCTATGAAATATTTTCCTCCCTCATTTTACAGATGAGGAAGCTAAGGCTCACGGTTTTTACTATTTTGCCCAATGTCACACAGCTGAAATTCAAACCTTAATCAGATTACCTTCAAAACCTAAGCTCTGTCTCACTGCCCCAGGTAGTTTCCCAATAACGCCAAGACCACTGGCCAACATCTCATAAATAGTTTTTCAAGAATAGAATTTTTTCATTATCTTTATTGGATGGCTGGTAGTTTGTAATTCTGTCCACACTATAATACTTTAATGAGGAAATTTTATCCATAGCTGTTCACTTCTCCTTTTAAGGAACAGAACTGCAGCACCTAGATCCAGTAGGCTTTCCAAGTTCATTGGCAGCAAACGCCCACAGATATAAAACTTGCTTATGACTCAGATAACTGTACCAATCAAATATAAAATTACTGTTTATAGAAGACTTCTGTAGAAAACTAAATCTTGGGTCCTACCCATAATAATTAGTCAGTGAAGATCTTACAATAAATTAAGGATTAAAATCCATCATTTCAAGCTTTAGATCAATTAGCTTTATAATTTATAGTCCATATCACTATTATGCATATAAAATATATAATAGTCTATGTTACAGACTACAGTCTATACAACTTTCTTACTGATTTACGATCATGTCACTTTAAGTGAATTGAGTCTGCCAATTGTTTCAGCAGTCATTTTTCACTTTTGGCAGTGGCAGACTGTAAGAACTCTAAAAGGAGGTTGTTGCCTTATATACTTTTTTTTTCTCTTTCCCGGGGCCCCAACTCCAGTGTTTGGCATCAAGTAGGTACGCAGTGACACCTGTTGTATATGCTGCTCATTCAACAACCTGCAAAGTCAATGCATGTATTTTTAAGACTGATCCCATGGCACATTCTCAAGGGCACTAAAATGTGAGGATTTGCTGTACTGTGCAGACTAGAAGGGCAGTCTGTTAGCACAGGGAGCACAGCAGATTTAGCCTTTTACAAAAGACAGAGGAAGTTCATCATAGGCACGAACTTAGTTCCATTCCCTAGGACTAAACATTCAACCCAAAACTCACAAACAAAAAGTCACTAACAGATACTATAACATTTTCTTTTTTCCACTTGCATGATTCTGTCATGCAGTACAATCCCTTCCACTGTTCTGCAGACAAGTAATGCCACATCCCTGAAGGACTGATCTGCCAGCCTAAAGTTTCAGTCCAGTAAAGACATGACACTTTTGTGGAAAGTGACATTGTGGCTTCCTTTCTTCTGTTTGTAAACACAGGCTGGTTTGCTGGAAAGAGAAGAAGGTTGCTTCTGCTTGATTTTCACTTTTGTAACATTAATATTAAAAAAAAAAACCCAAATACAAGAAAACATAAAAACAGAAGAAATAAATTAGGATATGATTATTCACATTATAAAGGGATTCTCCATAGGATTTGGTTAAATATTGAACTCTCTTAGGGTCCTGAATTTTTGATTTGATTTAAACGCAGTTTTTCAAGAATACATTTCTTGTGTAAAGGAAGTACACCCATATGTTCATCTTGAGACTCCTTCAAGGACAATCCAGTATCTTGTTCCCATTCATGGGGCAGAAGAAACAGTACTTGTTAAGGAAGTCAATAGCGCCTTTAACCACCCTGCTCACCTTTCCCAGGAGGCTGGGGTTTGAGGACTCCAACAAAGAGAAAGCCACACTTGCGGCCACACCACACCCAGGCGCCTTCTAAAGTCAGCTGTTTGCTTCAGGAAAATGCCAGCTGGGCCACCACTGTGGAAATACAGAGAAACAGCCTCGGTGCCTGGCAGCTCTTCACCTCTGCCCAAGCTACAAGGTAAGCACGGGCACCCTTCTTCAAAGCCCTTACTTAACAGCCATGGCCATCAACAGCAGAAGGAGCCCAAAGGGTAGTTGTGCATAAAGCAGGAGAACCTGGGACCTTTCCCACCCCATCTTGCAGTTGTATAATGTTAATTGGCAAATCACCTTTTTCCAATAAAGCAAAAAAAAAAAAAAAAAAAGTGTTCTGAGAACTTGGTCCCTTGATTCAGCAATCAAGGAGATGCTTGGTAGGGAAATCAAAGAGCTGACAACGTGGCTTCCCTCGGTCGCTTGCAGCATGGGCCAGCTTCACCGCTCGAACCAGTGCGCCAAGTTGCCTATGCTCTTGGGCTGGTGCCCGGCCGTCTGCACAGCCTGGCAGGCCCGGCACCACGGCTCGTCCCAGAAGGAGGTGATGTGCACGGCGTACCTCCGGCGCCAGTGGAAGTAGCGGCGGTAGACAGTTGGGTTGCGGTCGAGGAAGAGCAGGTAGGTGGCCAAGGCGGAGGCACTGGGGAAGTCGTCCACGTGGATGAAGGCGCCGCGAGGCACAAAGCGCTCGTAGTTGCTACGGTCTGGGCCCAGCACCACCGGCACCGCCCCGGCCAGGAACGCGTTGCGCCAGAGCTTCTCAGTGATGTAATCTAGGTGCTGCGAGTTCTCAAACGCCAGGTAGAACTTGTAGCGGGCCACCGTGTGCAGGAGCCCGCTGTTGGGCACCGGGCGGCCGGGCCCGCCCTGCCCGAACACGTCCACGGGCACGTGCTGGCTCAGCTGATGGTAGTAGCGGACCCGGGCCTGGCGCTCGTCCCAGTGGCTCACCACCCAGGCCACCAGCCCCCGCTTCCGGGCCAGCGGCGGGGCCAGGCCCGGAGGCTGGTCGCCCGGGTGGCTCCTGGGGTAGAGGTAGCCATAGGGCACGAAGACGTCCGAGTCGGCCCTGTAGGAGAGCGTCCAGTTGAAGAGGTTACCTGCCAGGCTTCGCAGCCCCGGGGAGTGAGAAGGAGACTCGAAGTTCATCCACACCCAGCGCTGGCCCGGGGGCCTGGAGCCTGAGGTCATGAGGGCCGCGGGCTCCTGGTAGCCCAACGCGCGCAACTCCAGCTCCTCGGCGGCGCGGCCCCGCGCGCCCCAGGGCGGTGGCCAGTCCAGGGCCCCCTTCACCAGGTCGCGGTGGTGGAACAGCACTGCCTGAGCCTCGCTGTAGGCTGCGCGGTCGGTGAGCAGGCGGCAGCCGCTGATGTTGAAGCGCAGCCGGCAGTCGGGGGGCGGCCTCGAGGCGGCGGCGCCGCGTCCCCTGAAAGGCTCCCACCAGAGCAGCACGCCCACCTGCCCCGGCGGGGCAGGGGATGTCCAGGGCAGCGGCGGCAACTGCTCCCAGCAGACGTAGGCGGCCAGCGCGGTGCACATCAGGCCGGCTGCCACCAGGGCCGAGGCGCTCTGTAGCTGCCCCTGGCCTCTGCGCCGCCGGCGCCGCCCGCCGGCCTCCGGGCCCCAGGGCGCCCCCATGGCGCCCGCAGGCAGAGCCGCCGCCGCTGGCCGCGCGTCCGCAGGCGTGGAGGAGCGGCGGGGGCTCTCATGCTGCCGCTGCGGCTCCGGCCGTCGCCGCCGCTCGCCGCTGGCCCGGAAGCGGCAGGGGGCGGTCCTGGAATCCAGAGGCCCGCAGGTCCGACTCCCTCCTCCCCAGTCCCGAGCTGGGCGCGCCGCTAAGGCGAGGTGAGCGGGCCGGGTAGCCCAGCCGGGCGCCGCCCTGTCCCTCCCCGCCACGATGTCCCCAGCCGGGCCGGGCCAGGTTCTGAGAGTCTCCTGCCGCGCCTCCGCTGCTCCCGGACCCTTGAACCGCGCCGTACAGGCGCCTTATCCGCTCCTCGGGGTCCCGGGCCTCCCCAGGCACGCCCACCGCCCTGACCTGGCGCTGGGGTCTCGGCCCTCGCTCACGGTGGACTGAACCCCCCTCGTCGTCACACTGAGAGCTTGGTTCATCCCTGGGCGCGTGCAGCAGGCTGGAGACCGGCAGAGCCAAAGCTGCGAGAGAGCAGGCGCAGGCCGGGACAGAGGCGGACCGCAGGCAGGACGGAGGACCCAGCCCGCTTGCTTCCGCTCGGCCCTGCTACCCGCCCGCGACGCCCGCCGGACGGAGTGAGGAAGCAAACTCAGGGGCAAGCACGGCCCACGTGTCGGTGACCCGGGTCGTTGTGGGGCGGCCGCCTGCGCTGGACCCACGAGGCTGCTTACTTTGTGAAACTCGATTTTCAGCGTGGGTAGGCAGAACACCCCTCTGCTGCGCCCCTGCAGAGGATGGAGAACAAAAAAAAAAAAAAAAAAAAAAAAAGTAATCGAAACTCAGTCTCCTCTCTCCCCACCCAGCGTCTCTGACTGCCGGCCAGTGACTGGCAGGGGCGCATAAGGCAGAGATGAAGATGTGGCCGCTGGGGTGCTTGTCCTGGATGAATTGAATGCCTGGCCAGTGAGATGAATGAATGAATGCACATCCCTTTTAATTTTACTATGCACTTAGGAAGTAGTTTCTGCACTCGTGAAGGTTTTATGCAAATCGCTTTGGAGGATAAGATGACGATGACTCGGGCAACCCACGTTGCAATGAGTTTAGGGTTGACAGCAGAGAGCCACACTGGCCCCTTCAGGCTTATCAGTGCAGCAGCAATCAGGCATCCTCAGGAATTTTTCCCCTGCGGCTTGATTTTGAGTTTATGGATTCTACCCCACATTGATATTATTGAGATTTTTTTTCCCCCTGCTCAGCAGGATTCTAAGGAGGCCAGCGGCTGGGCTGCTGCCCCAAGGAGCGGGAGACAGTCTCCAGGGAAGGGTTAGCGCGCGCCTGGGTGCCAGGGGTGGGGTGCCAGCTGAGTGCGATGGCGTCAGAGGCGCTGGTGGAGAAACAGACACTGCTGGGAGTGGGGCCGACCTGCCAAGCGTTTTTGCTGTTGTGCTTTCTACAGAAAACAAGACATGGGGTTGCCACATACGATTATTCAGGGCAGTTTCATGCAGGCCCCAGAAGAGTGCTCTACTTCCAATCTAGCTCCCTGCTAATGCAGCTGGGAAGCAGCATAAGATGGTCCAAGTCCTTGGGCCCCTGCACCCATGGGAGACCTGGAAGAGGCTCCTGGCTCCTGGCTTCAATCTGGTCCAGCCCCGGGTGTGGTAGCCATTTGAGTGAACCAGCAGCTGGAAGACCTCCCGCCGTGTCTCTACCGTTGTTTTTCTGTAACTTTGCCTTTCAAATAAATAAAATACATCTTTAAAAACAACAACAAAAAAAGTTTTATTTGAAAGGCAGAGTGACAGAAAGAGAGAGAGAGAGAGAAAGAGAAAGATTCCATCCACTGGTTTACTCCCCCAAATGCCCACAAGAGGCGGGAATGGGCCTGGCTGAAGCCAGGAGCTAGGAGCTCCACTTAGATCTCCTACTTGGGTAGCTGGAACTCAAGTACTTGGGCCACAATCCGCTGCCTCCCAGGCACCTTAGCAGGATGCTATATGGGAAGCAGAGGCAGGACCCAGTCCCGGGGCACTCAGATGTGGGATATGGGAGTTCCAGGAGATGGCTTAATGCACTGCACCACAATGACTGCCCTGATGGTTCCTATTTTTAAAACAGTCAAGGGCAGGGGAGAAAGAGAAGGAAAAGAATTTTGGGCAAGTAACAAAGCTAGGTATTCTCATTTATTCATTTAACAAATTGGAAAACTGAGATGAAAAACATCATTTCTGCCTTTAGACATCTATGAGAGAAACAGTGTGGAGGAAAGGGATCATGGCTGACTTTGAGAACGTGGCTCTTGAAATAACAAAATAACTGGGATCATTAGATTGTGGAGGAAGAGATCTGGGACGTTAGCCTAAAGAGATTGGAGCAGTAGGCACAGGCCTACAAGAAGGAGCAGTAGATAGGATTCAGTAGGTTGGGAATTACTAGTGGTTTGGGGGTTTTCTGCTGAAGGTTGCAGAGAGTCTTGGAAGATTCTTAACAAGGCAATATGATGAGATTTGTAGGTTTTTTTTTTTTTTTTAAGGTTCACTTATTTATTTGAAAGGCAGAGTTAGCAGAGAGAGAAGGAGAGACCTAGAGAGATGGATCTTCCATCCACTGGTTTACTCCCCAAATGGCCTCAAAGGCTAGGGCTGGGCCAAGCAGAAACCAGGAGTCGGGAGCCAGGGGCTTCATCTGAGTCTCCCACATGATTGGCAGGGGCCCCAGTACTCGGGTCATCTGCTGCTGCTTTCCCAGGCACATCAGGAGGGAGCTGGATCAAAAATGAAGCAGCCGGGACCTGAACCGGTGCTCATGTGGGATGCCAGCTTCACAGGCAGTGGCTTAACTCACTGTGCTCCACGATTTGTAGTTTTAAAATGAATTTTTATCATTTATGGGCTGGGTGATTATGGATGGGGCATGAAGATGGCTTCTGGTATGCTGGCCATGCTTATTAATGTAGGTGCTGCTTAATAAATGTGTTTGGTTGATGGAATTCATCAAGCTGTGTGCTTCCAAACATAATTTTATGTATGTATATTATACTTCAGTAAAAATTTCCATGGGGGGCCGGTGCCATGGCTCAATAGGCTAATCCTCCACCTAGCGGCGCCGGCACACCAGGTTCTAGTCCCGGTCGGGGCACCGGATTCTGTCCCGGTTGCCCTTCTTCCAGGCCAGCTCTCTGCTGTGGCCAGGGAGTGCAGTGGAGGATGGCCCAGGTGCTTGGGCCCTGCACCCGATGGGAGACCAGGAAAAGCACCTGGCTCCTGGCTCCTGGCTTTGGATCAGCGTGGTGTGCCGGCCGCAGCGCGCCAGCCATGGCGGCCATTGGAGGGTGAATCAACGGCAAAAAGAAGACCTTTCTCTCTGTCTCTTTCTCTCACTATCCACTCTGCCTGTCAAAAAAAAAAAAAATTTCCCTGGGAAAAATAATTCTGTTATCAGTAATGAATGAGTTGGGTAAGACCAGGGTGAGAGTGAGGGATAAATTTCAACTGGAAAGCTATTGCTACAATTCAGACATGATCTGAAAAAAGCCTGAGTTAAGGCAGTAGCTCTGAGGATGAGGAAGAAAATCCAAGAAGAATTGACTCAGATATTTAGGAAGCCAGTCCCTTCCTCCAGGAAGCCTTCCTGGATACCCACATATATCCAGAATAATTTACATGGTCCACCTGTGTGCCCTCTTTATACGTCCTTCAGAACATGGGACTGGGGTCATGGCAGTTTCATTTATAACTGCATTCCTATCACCTTGCATAGAACCAGGCTCCTAGTAGTAGTCGTCATCTCACTGAGTATTTGCTGAATGAATGCTTTCAACATATTACTGAAAATATCTGCCAGTATCTCACTTCCTCACTAGGGAATGGGTAGGTGATTAGGAGATTTGGGCTATATGAATGAATTGACCTCAAGATGTTCCTTAAACTCTCAGTGGATAATGCTATACAAATGTTTATCCACAACCCTGGTGACAAGGGGCAGAAACTCAAATTAGGCTGCTCTTGTTAGTCCAGCCTGGACCCAGTTCATTCTTGGAGCAATCACTTGGCCAGAGGAGATGGACTCCCTGTGAGCTCCTCTGAAAGTAGGAGGTAGAATAAGCTCCACTTAAACTCTATGGAATAACAATGAAGGGAGGATCGTTCGCCAGGGGAAAAAATGGAATGGTGGTACATAAAGAGTAAGGGGGACCAGTACTGTGGTTGTGGTGTAGCAGGTTAAGCCACCACCTACAAAGATGGCATACCATATGGGCTGCTCCATTTCCAATCCAGCTCCCTGCTAATGGCTTGGGGAAAGCAGCAGAAGATAGCCCAAGACCCTGGATCTTTACCACCTGTGTGAGACCTGGAAGAAGCTCCTGGCTCCTCGTTTCAGCCTGGCCCAGCCATGACAGTTGCTGCCATCTGGGAAGTGAACCAGCAGATGGAAAATCTCTTTCTCTGTCTCTCTCTCTCTGTAACTCTGACTTTTAAATAAATAAATAATCTTTTTAAAAAATAAAAAAAGAATGATACAGGCAGGCAGAGCATGTCTACTACCTATAAGTAAGGGATTGTTACTATTCTTAATGCAGAGATCCTACTAAAGGAATTCCAGCTGACCTTAGAATCTTAACCATTCTATGATGCTTTTCAGTTTAGCAACAATAAACTATTAAGTCTGCATATTTAAAGGTCTCTAAGTTTCCACAAAATATTTCACAGGAAGGACTGGTTTTCAATTGCAAGCATGAGGATAATAGCAAGGTCACGTATGAAGAAGGATTTTGAACCTGATGATTGCGAAAGTCCTGTAGAAGAAAGCTCCGTGATTCACGTCTCAATTTATCAAGCTGAATGAGCAACCATCTCACAATGAGCCAAGAGTGACCTAGTCAGTTCTAAAATATTATAAAGGACAGAATTCTGTGAGAGCAAGAACCAGGCCAACTGTGGTTCCTAAAATTTGGACTTAACCCTTTATTCTTCCCCATGGAAATAGTTCTTCTGAGAGTAAGATCGCCCAGTTCATTTTTTGCCTATCCTAATGTACTCATCAGAGAGAGATTTTGAGGCCTGTAATTCCAGCCATAAGCAAGCTGTCAGCATGCACTCCATGAGAACTAGGGCGCCCTTCAATGGCTTGTTACTTTTTATCAGATCTGAAGTTTCTGTGACTGAACCGTGACCTCCTAAGTATACTTTCATTCTTTTCCTTGAAGAGAGAAAAAGGCAATTGGAAGTCCTCCTCACCCTGGCCCCCAATACTGTGTACTTACTGGGGGATGGGGAGGGGCCAGTGAGCAGGTGTGGTTGAAAATGTTAATCTCCGTGCAAATAGGCAGTTTATTTCCTTTGTCAAGTGT